TAGTTGTTGACTGATTCCCTGACTTTTGTCAGATCTGCTCACCAGCTTCTTCGGCGCCGTTTTTCGTTGCGTGGCTCGTAACTAATGTGTGTGACAACTAGACTATTGAACAACCAATCTCTCCTAGATTTAACTATGTTCTCAAAACTATTGACTGCATTTCATTAGGTGAAAAGTCCTATTCCGATTCCCTTAGAACTAGCCCCGGTTGTCTCACCAAAGCCGTCCTGCACCGTCACCCTACAAAAGCGCATTTCAACTGAGCCTCAGGAAAAAGCAATTCGCCCCGAGCCCCCCATCCCACCAGCTCGCACTTCTCTGCTTCTCATGACCAATCAGAATTATCGTGCTGAGGTGGAGCGGAGTATTGCTGCTGCCAATGCAACCGCACCAGATGTCGGGCCTTTCCCCCTACAGAAGGAATTCAACGAGATGGCGGGAGATCTGGCCAAAAAAGTTCAACAAATCGGTCAGTTACGGTCAAAGGTGAGCAACACCCAAGCGCCATGTTTCGTTCGCAAACACACACATATATATATATATATATATATATATATATAATTGTATGATGAAGGCCGTTCTTAACCTTTCGTCAATGATTATTTCATACTCGTTCGGTATGTTTGTCGGTAACTGTTTTGTCAATTACACTTTGTCCTTACCAACCAAGTACTCGTTGGCTTACAGTGGTGATATGTATGGTTTTCGGTTACCAACCGAAAGACGCGAGACATGCGAGCATCATGGTTGCCGCTGCTGTTTCGCACCTTTTCGGTGTTGCACAGTGACTGAGAACCGTACACATCGCCCGGATAAGTCACAACCGTCACTTTGTATGGTAACTTTTTACCTCCCTCTTTGATTTTTTTACGAGGAACGCTTCTATACAAACTGACTAATCCAATTCTTTTCAGAGCGAAAACAATGCCCGAAGAGTTCCCCGAGTCTCATCCGCATCGCCGTCCACGGAGGTTAGTTTTTACGTTAGTTGATCGGTCTCCCTTATTCGTTTTTTGGTCAATTTCATGGTAATATAATATGAGAACGTTTTCAGTAGTTTTGAATCTGAAAATGTCAAATGAAGGTAGTACGTTTAACGTGAATTTATGCAAACGCCACTTGAGTGGGAATAATCTAACAATGATCAATTTGTATTTAAGCAATTCGTATATATGCTGATGTGCCTTAATTAAAGTTGCTTCAAAGACTGTTAATCCGTGACTGCCAAATACCAACATATGGTCACTGTCCTCTATTGATCGGATGTAGAACGCAGTCCTTTTTGTTAAAAGATTAGTTAGATCATTTTAGCTGGAGAAGGACCTAATTTGCTGTCCACGGGTATTCGAAATATGGTCAGTCTCAAACAGACTACTTATGTTGATGGCGAATTCCTTCTGATAAATGATGGGTTGATCCACTTGCGTCCAGACTTCCTGCTTTTCATGAAGCATAACCAACAACAAGGTCCGGATATAGCACCATCCGTTTTCTGACGAACAACGGAGTCAAAAGTAGCTCTCAGGTCAAGAAGAATGATCAGTGCGGAGTGTTTGAAAGAAATCTTGTTTCAACGTGAGGATATGGTCGATGCACTGTCGGCCAGAGCGAAACCCAACTTGATTCTCACGAGTTCCTCTCTCCCAATAATTAATCAACCTGCGCAAAACGATGCCTGAGAGCACCATGGGTGCCAAGCATACTAGTCTGATGCCACGATGTTTCTTTCGTGATGTTCTGCTTTGTATCGAAATATTTATAGCTCGCTTGCGTTTACTGGTGGTTGATCAGATGACCGTTGATGTGTTCGCCGAGCCTGCATGCAAGCCGATTGCCAAATTCGACGAGCAGATTAACGTCTATCCGATCAACCACCAGTGCATGTGCTGCTTTTGAAGTCTGGGATCACGATCGAGGCATTCCATTCCATTCCTTCCAAATAGTCGTTAGACCGCTCACCAGACAGTCTGCGCCTAGTTCTTCCTCACTTTAAAGGAATGACATTTCACGCTGGATTTCTGTTTTTGACGGCGGATGACTATCGATGTTCCATTGAGGTTCGTTGGGTTTTTCCAGACGTTGTTCTGAAGGATGTCAGCCGAACTGCTCTCTAAACTGTTTAGTCCATCGCTCAAGGCGTTCACCTTGCGAGTGAATTACTGTTCTGGCTTTTTTCGCATATTGTTTCTCTGACCTTTGTTTTTTGACCAGTTGGAGGAATCAACTGAACTAAGGCGCGGCTATTGCCTGCAGCTCATACCGTCTCCATTTCCTGGGCCTTAGAGATCCACCCGCGTTCTCCGTCACCGTTCAGGATCTTGATTACTCGCTGTTCGAGGGATTTGCGTGCGCCGTCATAGTCGCTAGTTGCTGGTACGGCTTTTCTGGCAGCAATAAGATCTGCAGGTCTCGACGACAGCTAGTGTTCATTTGGTCGATTCAAATGGCTTACAAAAAGTTCTGAAAGCCTGGAGCATAGCTTCTCTCGCCTCAACTCACCCTCCAAACAATCTTCGACCTGCACATGACTGCCTTTCCAACAGCTTTCTAGCCAGATCAGCTCAACATTAATGAGCTACTGAAACTTGTCTAAGTTGGTGAGTGGAACTGCTCTGCTCTGCTACACGTAATGCCGATGGAAAGCGAAGTGATAACCGAACTCACACAATGACATAATCGGAGTGAAGCCGCGTACGACAATCTTTAGTCGTGGCTCTCCGTCGGTAACTGATAGCCATCTGATATGAATCCATGACTAACTTGGGGTTGGTGGCGTTGAAGTAACTTGGCGTAGCGTTTGTCTTCAGAGTTCGTACTAGCCAGAAGCAGACGATGATCGGCGCGCAACTGAGTATCGACTGCAAATCTCCCGCTTTATCGTGCTTCTTCCTGTTTTAGTATTCCAGTTTGGACATTCATATCACCTTCCAGGATCACAATATCCGTTTTTGCTGACCGAAGCAGTCGCGACAGATCTGTATAAACTCACCCTTTTGTCAGGACTTATGCTAATACGAGAAATAAGCACCGTTTTCCAGATCGGCTTTTACTGTTATTAATTGTGTCAGACAACCGTGCAGCGCAAAGGCGATTGTTTACTAAGATCTGGGCACTGGGTACTGAGTGCAACTTCCACACTATAGATACTATCAACTATTGTGTTAGGGTCACTAGATACCTGAGGAGTGAGACGTGGAATATCTAGGCTAATCCCGGGCCTCCTGTGAGCAACCGAAGCGGGATCTTGTCTGCTTGCTTTGGAGACACTATATATCGACAGAGACGGAAAGTAAAGTTCTAGCAGAACGTGTCTGTTTCCCAAATCACTGGAAAATACGGAGAGTGCGAATAGGATGGTTTGAATTTAAGATGGGATTACTTTGGCTTATTTTATTGGGCGATATTGTTGATAAAGAACAATGGCTAGGGAACCTGCAGCTGGATAGACCGCACTGCATCATTCACTGGATGACGAGGGAGTGTAAGCGATGGCCGGTGAATTACAAAGGCGGTTGATACGTCCCAGTTACCCAAGTCGATAAAAGTTTTGTTTGAGGTACCCCGCCTTGAGTTTTTTACTTAAAAGTCTGATCCATAAGGCGGTGGCTGGTAGGCTTTCCTTGCTAGCCAATGACTCAACAGTTTGTCTCACTTGGTCGTAGGGGTACTAGTCTACCCCATGGCGCGAGGGACATGGCTAACATGTCTTATTCATAATGCTAGCGCGTTTACTAGACGCGTTTGCAACCGCATCAGCTTCTGCTGTATTTGGTAATTCTTACCGCATGTAACTTCGCCTTACAGGAACCTTGTATAAAACATATGAGAAAACCAAACCTCCTCACTGGATAGGCGCAAGTTGGGTACTACTCAAAACACGAGGGGAAAGTGACTAATAATTGTTGGAAGTTAAGATGAACGTTTTCTTGTTGATCCTATACACATGAACCATTAGTGCAGATCAGTCACTTCATTTTTGGCAGATGGTGTTCAAACATAGTCACGATGTCTTTTCAGAAAAATTCTACGTTAGCAAAGGTAGAATATGACTGGCCTTGGCATGACCAATGATATTGCAGGGCGTTTCTGTTATTGACCGTTGCAGTCCATTAGTGATTGCCTCTTTCGTCGAGGGTGCACTTTGCCTGACTGTCCTGCGTACATGCCCTCACACTATTGAACTAGACTGGCACGTGACAGGTGTGACGGTCACTAATCCATTTGATATAAGCCACCAACTCAAACCGACCTAGCCATTCACCATGATGTATTCGTTTTCATGATATCGCTCTAAGGTCTTCGGACAGTAGGAGCGCTGTGTATTTGTCCACGCCGACCAACTCTGTAAACAAAAAACGCCATGTGAAAGCGTTAATTCTACCTTGACCAGCTATCCGTTACTTCTCATTGCCTGCTCGAGTAACTCATGAATAATTTTCCACTGAAACCTGGATTCCCTATTTTTGTGTACAAATATTCTAGTCATTAATCCCATTCGTAATTCGCCAATCAAGACTTTATCATAAACCTTTCCTGATATTAAGTGTTCTACGGAACCACGGACACATTCAACAGGTTACACTAATCTCCCATTATTGAACCCGCTGAATAGAGGCTCTTCTTGTAATCTTACCTGCTTACTACAAGGTAGTGGTGGATCTTCTTCTCATGGTGTCCTCTGTTGTCGGGATTATTGTCTTTATTGTTCAGCTTATCGACCAGTCATGCTACATCGACCTAACGAGCGTCACTCAGTTCGAACCGTATGCCTTGTACCGTTGATCAGTGTTTGTAGTATCAGTCATTTTTCGTGGCACAGTCGTTTTTTCCATTTACCAATCTGTCTACGTTTCTCTCGGTGATAGACCTCCGTTTGTTAATACGCTCCACTTTCTGTTTTCAGGCCAAACCAATGTCCATCTCCACGGAACTTGATGTCCCCCGGCCGAATGATACAGCGGATTCCAGCACTGGACTAAATGCTATAATTTCCGCCTGTCAACATCTGGTTCATACTACCCTTAGTCTCATGTACTGGGCAGCCGCGGCCCAGCGTGAGTTGGTTCAACAAGGCCGAATGAAACCGGTTGATTTGGATCCATCTGGCAGTACCGAATCGGACTCACAGTGGGCACAGGGGCTCATTTCTGCAGTAAGTGCAGCGAAGCAACAGAAGTCCGAATAGTTTTAATCATGGTATCCTCTGTTTTGCCTGTTTTTTCCAGACTTCGTCAGTTAATCGCCCTCTTGGCTCAGTCCCATTCTCTTGTGGATTCCGGCTGTTAATTTAGTTCTTCGAAAAGAGCTAGGGTTGTATAGAACGAAGTGTCGTGCGTTGAACTCACTCGTTCAAATCAGCCTATAGTAGAAATACTACTGCGGTCCATAATTTTGGCGTTCTTCAAAGTGATACTTCTAGTTCAGAGTCTCCACTACACTGCATCACTGATGAGCTTTGATAAAGGCGAAACTCCTCCACTTACAGGATCAAATGACTGCACTTCGGAACTCGACCTAAGTTTGAGGAAACAGCAGCCTTGTGTGAATCCAATGTGGGGCGGAAAGTGCAACTCATCTGTCCAACAGTGAGGTCTATATGTCCAAACACCTTGATTTGCTTCTTTTGGGTCAGCATGAGTTTTCACCCAATAGTGTTAAATTTTCTCGAACACTATTCTAAAAACATACCATAGCAAGTATTCCACGACTATTTTTGCCTCCAAATGTTTGGTATTGGAATTCAACCTTTCCGATCCAGTTTAGGATTTCCCTCGAGATGAAAGAACCGTTCAGTGCCTTCACTTGCAGTATCACATCTTGAGTGAAGTATCCTCCCTATCAGCGAACTACACTCTTATGAAATAAAAAATCGTATGAAGGTTCAGTATAGTCAACGAAAGTAGGCTGGAATTCACCCAATATTAATTAGCCAGGTAAACCTTTTTTTTGAAGATATTCCTGGACGCAGCTCGTGTGACAGTATTTCCGGAACTATTAATTATGAACATTCTGAACTTTATTCTTCATTCCACATGGTCTATCAAACTAACCCCATTGGCATTACGTTTACCTCCTGACCACTAACAAATCTAACCGTCGTTGGTTTTGTGTACAGTGAGATCGCCCTAGTTATTCAGAGAGCAACAATATCTGATGTAGAAGGTCTGTTTGTTAGATTCATATTGTATCTGCGCTACTGATGGGATTTCTAAATTTCCTGCTTGAGACTCGGTGGTGATAGTGGTAGGATAGACAGGTTATCGTGTTTCTCCATTTTAGTGATTGACTTGCCTTTTTCCCCATCCAGGCCAGGTTCGTTGCTATGGCGGCCAATTGTGTTGTTGAGTCAGCACAAGCAATGGTTTCTTCAAGAATGGGCGAGTCCGCCGGGAGTGCTTGTAATCCAAGACCGGAGATGTTGATCTCTGCTGCAGAGACTACCGCAGGTTACACCGCGCATCTCGTGATCGCGTGCATGGCCAAGGCCGACTTGAGCTCAGCTACGTGTCAGGGGTTGCGTCAGGCAGGTGCTTCCGTTCGTTGCGCTACAGAAGACTTGGTTCGCCTAGTTCAGAAAACCGTCGGTGCAGGTGGTCCAAATGAAATTAATGCTGCGTCTTTTGATGGCCTGAACTCCAGCGTGGTCCAGTCAATGAGACAGGTGAGTATCGTAATCTCTTGAGATTACACTCCCATAGAAAGTCTCATCTACGGTACGTCAGTATAACCTGCCATAGTCTACTATGGTTTTGTGCCGGTATCCCCTCCTTAATTCATCCACAGTTTGTTCAAGAAGGTAATGTGCGCTTTCATTTCACATATCCATCGCACGGCGTTGAACACCCTCCTCTCAGTGTGAGTAACTGCTGTCTTATAGCCTTAACTGCGTACCAGATCACACAATTGACTCTCCACTCTGAATCATCCTCATCCTAGTTAGGATGAGGATGTAGCAGCCCGGTACCAGCAAAATAACGTTTATCTCACTTGAATCAGCATTTCGGATGGTGTATTGTGAGGTAGTAGTCGATAAAGCTTGTGTTGTCACCGAAAGCGTTGTGTTTAAATCAGCCGACTGGCCACTTCCAAGGAAGTCTGGTAATCGATTTTAGATTGTGGTTGGAGCTATAGATTTTCGTTTATGCATCCAGCTGCTTATGGCACACCCACCCATCCACCGTTGTTGGTCGGCCACTCCAGTATTCCAGTACGCTCTGAACCACCTCGGCATCAATCTACTTCTCTTAGCGTGGGTATGCGGTTCCAAATATTAATAAATTTCAGTTATCAACGGCCCTTTTAGATGGTATCACGCTACCCAGTTTGTAGTTTTTAGTCCAATAAACACCCACTTATTTTCTGTCCTTCTGTTATCCCTCCCCTTCTCAAGGTCATCGAAACCAAAACAAGCATAGCAGCCAAACAAAAAGAGCTTGAAAATTTGCACGACAAGTTGAAACACATCAACCAGGATCCCTACAGAGCATTGCACGAATAAACATTGGCACTTCGAGATGCACTCATTTTTGCGTGCAGAACCGAATCTTTTTCTTATTATTTCTGCTCGCTGCAGCTGTGATCATGGCTATGCCACAGAATCAGCTGTTTTTCACATTGCTCCAGTACCGCGTGTCAGCTCCGTTGTCTCATTGAGGCTAAACACTCGCTCACACATTACCGATATGTAACCGGAGTAAAACTTCCTGCTTTCATTCTTTCGTATAATACGTTGCCTTTATTTTACTGACTTGCTTGCGTTTATGCTTTTATATTTTTTATACCTTGGTGCCTTACGCACACTGATCAGCTTGATACTTCTTGAAGAGGGTCAGCAAACACAAGTAATTCCTGACCACCTATTATCGATTGTGTCCAGATCAGAATGAATCGAATCGCCTTTTAACCTCGCCTTGAGAAACCGAGCAATTCGCCCAGCTACCCTTCTTTGCTCCACGTGCACATATTCCTTTTCCCAGACTGCTGAATTTTTAACTCATTCACTAGTCCTATGAGTAAAACAAACTAGCTTCGAGCTTCAAAATCGTTTTTTCTGAATTATATCACAACGGGGGTGATAGGTTCGGTTGTAGATACACTATCATTAACGGGGCATCCTTCTTATGAATTACTGCTTGATATCCTGCATGTGCAATGTGATCAGGCTGCCCCATCTTTCCTGGAATCAGTCTGAAATGAAGGGAATATGGCACTGCGAACAGAGATTCATGCGGCCCAATTCCTCTCGTTTGGTCTTGTGCTAATGAGACATGGGCAGTAAATGTACACAGAATGTTCTGGTCTTGCAAGTCTCCCTCTAGGAGTAAGTTGTCAGCCGGGAACCCCATAGAGGTCGGTGCTCTCACTGACACAGTCGATTCCTCGGAAACGAGGAAACTAGTCTCCGATTCTTCCACACTTCGAAGGCCATTAGTACGCTAGCACTCTTTATTAGTAGTCTCGAACATTCTCTGACATTGTGTAACGACAACATCGGTCCTTAGGATCCCCTCCCTAGTGAACTGACCACGTTTTCCGCTCACTTGCCTTGCTGAGTACGTGTTGGGGCCTTAGAAGCGTCTCTTCCTCGCAGTCACCATCTGCAACATAAACAATGTTGTTCCATGGAGGAAACACGAATTGGAGAGAGTATGTGAAGAGTGCATGCTATGGTAATTCGTCAACTTATGAATGGGGCGATACATTATATATATATATATATATATATATATANGTTTCACTGAGTTCGCTCCGTAGTATAGGTAGAGTGCAGCTAGTTTTAATTTCTCCTACTCTTTATGGAATGGTTTGGTTATTGCGGTTCAAATGTGCATGAGAGAGCTAAGTAATTCATGTTCGGGTCGTAGCTGAAGGAATCACGTAAAAGAGCTAACCCTTGACATATGATGAACTACTGACGTTCCAGTGCCAGATGTCAGCTGATGATGGTTATTTTTTAATAAATCGGATGAATGTGGGAGCACAGTTCGGGTAGCCGTTGAACTAACATTAAACATGTGTAATGTCGCCCTAGTTAGGTAGTACCAGTGAAAATTTCGGTTTCTGTTTATTCTGGTCCAACAGACACTCCATCGTCTTCCAACTGTTTGCTCCGTTTGACTGCAAGATGAGATGGGCGCAAAGATAACTCATTCTAAAAATCACGAACTTAGTAATAATAGCACAGATGTAATACACTACTCACAAGATTGCCGAAAACCCTTCGACAGCCCACGACCGGTTTCGTTCTTTTTGGGGTACTAAAATGTTTAGAGCAAACAAAAGCGAAAACAATGCAGTGGGTAGCCCCAGCAGTTCAGTTGGTAAATGATGAGCCACTAACCACAATTCTCAACTTCTATCCTGGATGTCGATCATCTCTTCCCCTCAAAGAGTCCAAAACTCATTTGCTGTTAACAAGTTTTACGTGCAGCTAACACTCGCGATGGCACTCAAGTTTGAAAACTGTCTTTCAAAGCCTCGATAGTCGTTGGACCTGCAGTCGACGGTCACAGTGACCCAGGCACGCATCTCAGCAATCAGCTCCTGGGTCATAAGGCGCATTCCTTACCTAAAACAAATTTCATGTTCTAGACCGTACAGTGCTCCTCTAAACCACGAATCCACAGTGTGATTCATGCTGTTGGCTACTGCCAGCGATCGCCAGCCGCGTTCACCCTGAAGCATTGTACTGATACTCTCGTAACTCTGTCGAACACTGATAAGGTCCACACTCAGGTGAACAGGGTATCAGTCAAACAGCGCTACTTAACACACGTTATGAAGCAGCCAAGCTGAATCCTTCTGGATGCGACTCCATGCCCAGATTGCCCGACTGACAGTACGAATGCAAATTGAACGCTGCTGGCGAAAGGCGGTGCCTGAACGGACGATGGTGGCTCAATTGCTGTCGTGGCTCGTTAAGTTACATGCACCACCAAACCACAGAATTCCTCCCTCCGTACCTCCCACACTGTAGGTATTCGAGGATCGAGATCCGTCCGTNATCCGTCTTCCGATCCATTGCGTCGTTAATCAAGCGTATCTGGTGAAAATACGAAATAAGTTAAAACTGTTTTTGGATTTTTAGAGAGCATTTTGTGGACGCTTCCGAAAAATTCGGTCAATCGGAAATGATAAGAAAAGTTGTGCGTCTCATTGACTCCTCATTTCAACCGAAAATCTCGAAATCCTTCCTCAAATTTTATCGCTACTGACACATGATCCATCATTTCGCAGATTACAAAACCACAATGCTATTCGCCGCTCAGCTAGTCGCATTGAAGTGAAAGGCCAAAACCAAAATATAGGCCGTTGCAAAAAAAGGAGGATATTTTACGCCTAACAGAAAAGTATGAAGAGTGGTTTCATCTGGTTCATCCTGTACAAAAGCGCCACACAGCCATGTAGGAAATGCACCGGGTTCGTGGAAGAAAAGAGTGCATAGAATCAACAAAGAGGGTGCAGAGTGGTCAAGTCCACGGGATAGAAGAATAGCAATGTGCCGCCTGTTCCACATTGGCGAAGCAATCCATCAGAAGCTCTGACGTTAGTCCATAGCGTTCGTATTGGTGCAAATAAGCTTTACTGGCGAACATCCCCCAAGCGCGGCTGATCGCATAATTCAAACTGGCTGCAGGGTCACCAGTGGAAGCGAAATCGAGCGTTCCCCCGCGAAGGATATCTTCCCCGAGACGTGAACCACCCCCATTAGATACCACGAACAAACTGCGTGGGTAACCAAGGAACGGTCTATCATGACCATGAATAAACGAAGCATCGGTGGGGGGACAAGAGACCGATGTCGAAACCAGCAGGTCTCTTGTCAGCTCATGTGCGAAAGATGCCGGCTGTTGCACGTGCTCCTGTGCATCTTGACCTCGAAGAACAGCAAAACAGCCCAATAGGGGCAACCGGTTCCGTCGAAAGCGACTAGCAGCATCCACTCCGCTGGACTGGGTAGACCAATCTAACCCTGAAGAAAGAAGAACGAATATGGACAATAAGGTTTTATAAAGTACAACCACTAGTAAACCGTCCACTCAGCCAAAGGATTGTTGTTGATTGATAACAGGGACTGGGTGTTGCCACCGACGGTGCGTGGTACAGATCTGATCCTAANTGTTGCCACCGACGGTGCGTGGTACAGATGAAGTGGTAGCGAGTATGCCTCAGCTATTGGAGGTTTGTTGGCAGTTTGTTAACGGCAGTATTCGTTGTTTTCTACCTGACTTCGCACCTTTATAAGAAGCTGGCCATAAGCCACAAACAGAGTGTTTTGGTCCCAACGTCTTCCCCGCCTTCCACTGATGTTCGTGTACTCATGGGTTATCAGCAACCAACGGTCCGCACGTAAATTCATATTTCTTTTCTAGGTTGTTTACAATTATGTGTTGCAATACACGTCGTTATTTGACCTTAGGCGTTTGGTTGTATGTTCTGGGTAAACGTTGGATTACACACCGCATTCATGCTGATCCTAAATCGAATCATATGTGAACATGTTTTTCATACGAACACTGATTCAAGCGTTTTGTATGCTTTATTCATCATCCTCTAGAGATTCTTCGCTCTCATATAATTTGCACAAACCTCTGTTCGAGTGGTTTTCGGGGCTGCGTTCCCTTTTGAAATCAGACGGTTTGTGGCTTACTGTAGATCAAAACAGTTTAAGTGGAATAAGAGGGGTTGACGTTTTATTTTCCTTAGCGAATAGGCCTCTGTCTAAAAATGCCTCTGTATGTTAAAGAGGGCTTCTTTCGAGGGAACGACTATGGCAGGTCGGATAACCTGTTATTCGGAGCCTCCGAAGAAGTTCCGTTCATGGGCGTTCACCAAACTAGAAGGCGAAACCGGTGGCCAGCATCATATTTAAATAGCGTGCTTATATTTGATTTTGGGGTTGGCAGGCACATTAGTATATGTAAAATCTCATGGATCTGAGTTGTTTCACAGCTTGTTCGAACTAGTTCTTGTACATCAAACGGCTTTAACTTTCCGTGCTCCGGGGTACCATCTGCTGTAAAGTTCGTCTGTGGTGTATAGCTAGGTTGATCGATGTAAAAATTCACTCGGGGTCTACAGCGAATTTCGGTGTGCCTGGACTAATCGATTTTGGGAATTCGAAGCTTTTCTAATTCGTTTATTTTATTGAATGCGGCTATTTGATCCGGTTGATGGTACCAGATTCTGAGTACCTATAACTTGATAGGTGTGCGGAAAGAAAAGTGATAAGTAAGGATACGGATGACTGCGATAACACTGCCATTGAGAGTATACCGAAGTCGGTAACTGCTACGAAGAATAGAAGTCGGACAAGACCGAAAACCGACGAAGCAGTCGAAATCCACAGCTGTTGACGCACACGGAGAGTAGATAAACAGGAGATAGGCGACAGAGTGGCAGCAAGACAGTCCGATGGATAACTGGCCAACGTGAATATCAATTGCTATTGTGATGTGCAGTTTTCGTCCATTCGGTACCATTTTTAAACTGACCTTGGAGTCTAGTTCAGGTTACTGTTGCGCATCAAATCATTCGACTGCAGCCCCCCTCTTCCCGGGCACTCAGTCGGCCGCTCACTACACTTTACAGCAGTGGAGCTACATTGTGGAATCGTCGGTACAATGTAGGAATTCAGTGGTCGATTTCTTTTTCCCCTCTCATTACGGTCTCAATAATAAAACTCTCGTTTACACTCCAACCTCTCATCAAATTTCTACCGGCCATATAGCATACGATCTTTCGTCCTATTCACTGTTTTCTTTCTATGGACCTATTTCCGACTGCTCCTCTTCCACATACTAATAGAGTTCGATGTTTGTGCTATTTCATATCAGTTAATGCTTTTACACCAAGATTTTCCGATCGAAAACCCTCCCTCCTGCGTCGCTCTACTTACGTGACTGAAAAGTCCTCCTATACACAGTGTACGAACCAGCGTATGTTCAGTTTACTTCTGCACTCTTGATTCTGTGCGTTTCAGACGGATGGGTGGATCCAGCAAACAAAATTCACTGTCCTTTCATTCTTCGCAAAACAAATCAATCCGAAGACGCAGTTCAGGGTGACCGTTCGCAACGAGCGGCCACGTAGCGCACGCGGGAGAAAATACGAAACTGAAGGCTAGAGTTTTTTTCAGATACGAAATTATTGGGCACATCGTGTGCTCGGGAAGAAAAAACAGTAAGTTCTGTATAAAGGTGAAAAACTGGCGTTTCAGAGACACTTTGGGAAAACTATAACACAAAAGCAAGTTGACTACTGACAACCCCTACAGCCAGGAAAGATAGCTGGCATACGGCCTTGAGGGTGAGAATACCAAGAGAGACCCTTGAAGTCACTGACTAGAGGGGAACTCCGCACGCACACGAGATAGCTAGGCTTAGTCAGTTACCAGCGAATATTCACGGTGAATAAAATGAGTCGTCTTAGTGGTCGACTGAGCGAAAAGAAATTCCAATACTGGACTTCCTCACCCATCGCCTGTGTCAACTGCATATGCTTTTGTGTCCACTGGTGCTTCGAAAGCAAAAAACTCGATAGAATAGTCTGTAACTAAGGTTCACCTTTATCAGGATGTCACTATATACCGTTCTCAAGAAACCAACAGCATACAAGGATTACGGTACTCACGGTCTTCAGAGGCTGATCCGGTCAAGAGCATTTGTCGTCCGTGACGAGCCAGTTGAGCCCAGGTTTCCGTCGCAAAGGCACGGCATTCGGATCCGTAATAAGGTAGACAACGTGGCCGTAACAAGCGATAGTCAGGATGACCACACAAGTGTGATAACACTGAAGAAAGACGTCGATGACAGCCTGTGGAGGATGCGGACCCAGGTGACCGGAAAGGCTGGTGAAAGGGAACAAGCAGAAATGCGATTGGTCAAAAATAATACGCCAAAAGTAAACAATGGCACTTAAATTTCATGAGGAAAGAATGCCCTAGGGAATAATGGGAGGCGGACAAAGGGGTGAGGAATTAGGGTAAACAGACCTGTAGAAAACGATCAACAATAAAATATCCACATCTCAGGACAGTAATGGGCCAAGCACATCTAAGAGGCAAGTCGGAGTAAGACATCATCAGGGGGCTTGCTTCAGCAGCACTTCCAAGATTTACGCAATACGGGCCCAGCGTACAATAGACAGACTTTAGCTGGGCAGTCATGTTGAAAAGTGACAGCACTATGACCGATTAGACGCAATGTCCTTATGGTGTCCAGCCACTTTCAGGGGCAGTCGCGTTGACCCCAACCAGGAAGACATAAAGAGCACACAGCACTCCGTTGCTTGAGGAGCCAGTCAACACGTGTGACCGCGTGATGTGGATCCCGTGATTGAAGGATGAGCAGCGCTATATCCTGTCTAAGTGCAAGTTAATCAAACACTCGTGGCCGAACGGTTAAGTGTTCAAACTACTAGCCAAGAGGTCGCGGGTTCGAGACTCTCCGGAGTTTCTTGAGATGCGCACCGTTCATGATTCCCAATAATGATGAAACAGCTTCACAGTGCTTCTCGACTTTTCAGCAATGAATGGCTTCACTTACAGGACGAAATTTCCACCACAGCCTCCCGCTTTATTCTACTTCCTAGTGCTCCTAGGAATACCAGCTAAACATGGCGCATATTTGTGTAAATCGAATGTCACTAGATTGGTTGACTAACTCAGGTTTGGAAGATTTTTGACTCTGATGAGAATTAAGCTAGAAGTGCTCTAGAGTTCAGTTGCACACTTGCCGGAACTCTTCAATTATGAATGCCTTGAGTAGGACATCAAAATCTTAGATAATCTTCATAGAAAACTTAATGAAATATGTTAACTCCAGGCCACCATATAGGCTAACAAGGCGCTGAAGATTAGGAAACAACACACCACCCACCTGTAATATGCCCGCCAATTGGTAAGCTGCCAATGAGTTCAGGTGATCGATACCGATCTGGCAATTGGGGTTGCTAGCCAGCAGACGACTTGAGCAAATGCTATGCAAGACATCATTATGCTGCATTAAAAACCCATCCAATTCAGATGCAGTATGGGAAGACAATAAATGTCCCAATGTCAAGATTGTGTTGTACGCTTGGACTGATACCTCACCACGACAGTAAGGCCATACCAACTGAACAAGAGTCGGTGTTTTTGGAAGCAAGTCCGGTAAATGACTGAAAAGAGTTGAAATGGACAGTTTGAGTTCAACACTGCTTTGGGAAAAAACTCCGGCAGAGAATAACGATGCCGAAATGCACTTTTTATCCTGATACTATGTACCTTAACAGACTCCTCCGTGCCCACGCTAGAACTAGGGCGATTGGAGCCACCTTGGAGTTGTGGAACTACCAACATGATACCTACCTATTTACATTCATGGTATTGACTTCTAGCGTTCGAACCTAATCTATCTGAGAAGGCTAGCTTCCTAGCCGGCAGAAAAAATATGGACGATCTTGAATAGGGGGGGGCAGTAGTCTGCCTAAGCACCTCCGGTGAAAAAGGTGTTTGCCGTGTAACTTTCAGGGGTTTAATAATTCCATACAAATAGCGATGAAATTCAAGTAAAAACGAAACGAAACGAAAATTGTGGGACCAACTTTGGCCAACAACCTGTCTAGGTTCACACAGTGCGAAATGTACAAATAGGGTACAAAGGAATAGTGTCAACAGCGCTGTTCAGATTGCTTAATTTGGTGGCCTTCGAGCAAGCGTTATCTCACCTGCCCAGACACCATACTGCTCGAAATCACGAATCTCAAACATGGTTATGTTTCTTCGTGAGTAGTGAGACGAATCGGAATACCAGTAAAGTTATCCGCAGAACTAGTGTACCTTATTCCGCAGACCACCCATTAGGGAGCGGTCAACATCATTGATGTGGAACGCAGATTTCCTTGACCATATTCCAGTGAGTCCGAGATATGGTAGAACACTATGCAAACACTTCATGAGGTTACATAGATGGGAAAATAATTCGATCCGGCTTTTTTTTGCTACGTAGCCAATGAATGAACACCAGGTATGGGCAGCATTGATTGAAGGAAGAAAGCTCAAGACCGAAAACCTCTGGAAAGTTGTTAACAAGCACTCGAAAGGCCTTATTATATGGGTGTACGGCTCGCAGGAAATTCGAGAAGTCATCGTTTAGCATAGAAACGCAGATCTTTCGATTGGTGGTCCTCCGAGAAAATCGCACATCAGAGAGATCACTCTATAACGAGTGAACAGAATTGTGTCTTTCGTTAGTCCCCCCTGGCATGCTAAATTTTGACAAACCGAAAGTGTGAATACATCGAGAGAACACGAAGACCACAAGTATGGTTAAGAAGAAGTTAAGGGCGCAAATTTACTAATTTCTATCATCCGGAAAAGCAAGACCAACCACAAGGGCTGATAAAGAAAACAGTCCGGTCCCGTTCAAAACGTACATCTCATCAGGTGGAAGACCCAGACACCTGTATTGCCATCCTCCTTTCCGGTTATTTACAATTTCGGCAGGTACTTGATTTGCTTCCCCATATACCCTATCGAGATTTGAATATTATGAGCCAGTTATTGATGACCATGACATCGGCGCATCAAGCGGTTATTTACAATGTCGGCAGGTACTTGATTTGGTTCCCCATATACCCTATCGAGATTTGAATGTTATGAGCCAATTATTGATGACCATGACATCGGCGCATCAAGTTTCACATCCTAAAGCCACTGCCTTCTCCTGCAGAAACGATTCTGAAATTGTTTCTGGCATGGCCAACGGGTTTGGGTTTTCGTGTGTACTTTGATGTGTTGAAACCACCAATGTAAGCTACTGAGATTCACATTACGGATTTCAGGTTTGATGAACCTTTGCAATGTCCGACATTTACAAGCCATTTTTCACTCAAATTGTTTGGCATGCAACAAGAAGGCAGACCTCTAATGAACTGCTACTGACGATCGGCAATCCGATAAAAATTATCATAGTCGTCGCATACAGAGACAACTAAGGAGAGGAGACGTGAAATCACACAGCAGAACAGTAATAATCGTTATTGTTACTAAATCAGAAATCATGACAAGTAAGCTTCAAGCAGTACACATTATCACGGTGGCTTGGTTCAGCCTGAAAGCATGGAGCTGCCAAATGTTCTACAGATCAAATGGTTCAATTGACTCACAGAGGTCCATCGATTCCTCACGGGTGTTTTCACAGCATTGATCCTATATTCCCGGGCATCCCAGATATCACCCCATTAGTTTTTGTACACCCCGCTACACAAGCTTGTGAAGAGAGTCAAACTTGCGCTTACAGAGGAGACCACGTATGCGTGTACGTCGACTACCTAATAAGAGACATTCGCCCACACATAGACTTGGGGTTTCTCTGATTAGAACTCCAGGTAGACTATATATTAGACACAAAAAGCAGGTTGGTCAAGTGTTCAGGTGCCATTTAAGAGCGAATCACCAGTTGAACAGAAATTTGTCCAGCTGTAGTTCACTCGTGAACACCACTGCCAGTGACGTTCGCCAACAAACGGATACCACATGGTATGAAAACTGGTATCGAACCCCAAAAGGGGAGTTGACGAGCGTGGTTGAACACGTCCGGTAGGCAAGACACTAAGGAAAACGGGCCGACAACACGTAACACTGATTAGGTGGCGACCAAACCCGTTGACCGCACTGGCTTAGAGCATTGAAACGTGATGACAGCAGAGGAGCAAGGATGGAGCGCTTATATGTCAGCTTCAACTTAGTGTGCAGCCTGTGAGCAATAGGTTTAACCGGACAATATAACGTCCAAGGGAGTTAACCGGTTCGCAATTAAACTTTCTCAGGAATTATGTAATGTTCAACATCTTGGTACTGAACCCTGGGACAACAGTGGCAGATAGAAACTAAGGTCGATATAAGATGCTCAGCATTAAACCTTAACAGACCATTGCGGAAACCAATCCATAGAGTAGGAAACTCATATGGCAGACGCCCTTGAATTAACTGAAATGAGGAACATAAGGAAGGAGTCGCAGCTAATACAGGATGACAGAATTCGTTCAAGTCAGCTGGTCAGAAGTAAAAGTCTATCCAGAGGCTGATGGCAGAGCACGTGACGTGCTTCGTGTGAAGGAATGATAATAACTAATAATAATGGGCAGTTTAGCCAATTATTCGTAACTTACACGTTATATATATATATATATATAT